AAAATAACCAACCACTATTCGGAGGTGAAAATATCACCTAGTCAAAATCGGCGAATCAGCAATAATGCCAGAGAGGTAGGAATATTGTGGTAGTGAACTGAAGTATATAAAATGATTATGGAAATGACACCACCATGTACTTTTACACAAATACTGGGAAGTGGCGAAGTCGCATCTCCACAGACATGTAATATTAATTACCGAGATAGAATTTCTCGATTTCTTCGCAACAGAAACTGGTTCAAATACTAGACACAAATGTATAATTGGAATAGGAACACCTTTTTTGTGAACATTTTTGAAATTCGAACAAATAAGCCTATTTTCAGCAATTAATTTGAAGAAATGTTACTTTTGACATGTAGAGAAACTCACTTGACTCCGAGCGAATAGCCAATGTTTCATTTTTTTCGAAGCAAATCTCAACACCCAAGTCGAATTTCGAAATAAAGTATAACTAAATGTTTTTCCCATACGATGCCAACCCAATGAATGACACTGTATAATACCCTGATCAACTCATGAGAGTTATAACACCATCCCTGTTCAAATCACAGTGATAAACTGCTTATTACAATATGGGATACCATCAAACGAACAGCTATTGCTCTCCATGAAACCACCACACGGACGAAGAGTGGTCGATATCAATACCCTCATTCTTTCTTCCAGTATCAAGTGCTGATTATAAAAATAATTTATCACCGTATTAATCATACACTTGTTGAAGTTGAAAGTCTAACCTAGTCAAAATCGCTGGATCAACATTGTGGTAGGGAACTGAAGTATATATAGAAAAATTATGGAAATGACACCACCATGTAATTTAACGCAAATACTCGTAATAACAAATTGGTGAAGCCGTATCTCCACAGTATAATGTAATATCAATTACAGAGGTACATTGATTTCTTCGCAAACAGAAATTGTTTTGTATTGGTTTACTGGTCGATACAAATACTCTCATTCATTATTTCAGTATCACGTTTTGATTATAAAAATAACCAACCACTATTTGGGGTTGAAAATCTCACCTAGTCAAAATCGCCGGATCAGCAATGATGCCAGAGAGGTAGGAATATTGTGGTAGTGAACTGAAGTATATAAAAAAATCATGGAAATGACACCACCATGTTCTTTCACGCAAAAACTCGTATTAAAAATGACGAAGTCGTATCTCCACAGACATGTAATATTAATTACCGAGATAGAATTGCTCGATTTCTTCACAACAGAAACTATTTTCAACAATCAATTTGAAGAAATATAACTTTTGACATGTAGAAAACATCACTTGACTCCGACCGATTAGCCAATTGTTCATCTTTTTTCAAGCAAAACTCAACACCCAAGTCGAATTTCGAAATAAACTATAACTAAATGTTTTTCCCATACGATGCCAACCCAATGAATGACACTGTATAATACCCTGATCAACTTATGAGAGTAATAACTCCATCCCTGTTCAAATCACAGTGATAAACTGCTCATTACAATATGGGATACCATCAAACGAACAGCTATTGCTCTCCATGAAACCACCACACGGACGAAGAGTGGTCGATATCAATACCCTCATTCTTTCTTCCAGTATCACGTGCTGATTATAAAAATAACCAACTACTACTTGGAGTTGAAAATCTCACCTAGTCAAAATCGCCGGATCAGCAATGATGTCAGAGAGGTAGGAATATTATGGTAGTGAACTGAAGTATATAAAAAAAATTATGGAAATGACACCACCATGTTCTCTTACGCAAAAACTCGTATTAAAAATGGCGAAGTCGCATCTCCACAGACATGTAATATTAATTACCGAGATAGAATTTCTAGATTTCTTCACAACATAAACTATTTTCAGCAATTAATTTGAAGAAAAGTAGCTTTTGACATGTGGAGAACGTCATTTGACTACGACCAAGTAGCCAAGTTTTCATATTTTTTGAAGCAAAACTCAACACCCAAGTCGAATTTCGAAATAAACTATAACTAAAAGTTTTTCTCATACGATGCCAACCCAATGAATGACACTGTATACCCTGATCAACTTATGAGAGTTATGACTCCATCCCTGTTCAAATCACAGTGATAAACTGCTCATTACAATATGGAATACCATCAAACGAACAGCTATTGCTCTCCATGAAACCACCACACGGACGAAGAGTGGTCGATATCAATACCCTCATTCTTTCTTCCAGTATCACGTGCTGATTATAAAAATAACCAACTACTACTTGGAGTTGAAAATCCCACCTAGTCAAAATCGCTGGATCACCAATGATGCCAGAGAGGTAGGAATATTGTGGTAGTGAACTGAAGTATATAAAAAAATTGTGGAAATGACACCACCATGTTCTTTTACGCATAAACTCGTATTAAAAATGGCGAAGTCGCATCTCTACAGACATGTAATATTAATTACCGAGATAGAATTTCTCGATTTCTTCACAACAGAAACTATTTTCAGCAATCAATTTGAAGACATGTAACTATAACTGAAAATGTTCCCATACGATGCCAACCCAATGAATGACACTGTATACCCTGATCAACTTATGAGAGTTATAATTCCATCCCTGCTCAAATTACAGTGATAAACTGCTCATTACAATATGGGATACCATCAAACGAACAGCTATTGCTCTCCATGAAACCACCACACGGACGAAGAGTGGTCGATATCAATACCCTCATTCTTTCTTCCAGTATCACGTGCTGATTATAAAAATAACCAACTACTACTTGGAGTTGAAAATCTCACCTAGTCAAAATCGCCGGATCATCAATGATGTCAGAGAGCTAGGAATATTATGGTAGTGAACTGAAGTATATATAAAAAAAATTATGGAAATGACACCACCATGTTCTTTTACGCAAAAACTCGTATTAAAAATGGCGAAGTCGCATCTCCACAGACATGTAATATTAATTACCGAGATAGAATTTCTCGATTTCTTCACAACAGAAACTATTTTCAGCAATTTATTTGAAGAAAAGTAGCTTTTGAAATGTGGAGAACGTCATTTTAATACGACCAAGTAGCCAATTTTTCATATTTTTTGAAGCAAAACTCAACACCCAAGTCGAATTTAGAAATAAACTATAACTAAAAGTTTTTCCCATACGATGCCAACCCCATGAATGATACTGTATAATACCCTGATCAACTTATGAGGGTTATTACTCTATTCCTGTTCAAATCACAGTGATAAACTGCTCATTACAATATGGGATACCATCAAACGAACAGCGATTGCTCTCCATAAAACCACCACTCGGACGAAGAGTGGTCGATATCAATACCCTCATTATTTCTTCCAGTATCACGTGCTGATTATGAAAATAACCAACTACTACTTGGAGTTGAAAATCTCACCTAGTCAAAATCGCCGGATCAGCAATGATGCCAGAGAGGTAGGAATATTGTGGTAGTGAACTGAAGTATATAAAAAAATTGTGGAAATGACACCACCATGTTCTTTTACGCAAAAACTCGTATTAAAAATAGCGAAGTCGCATCTCCACAGACATGTAATATTAATTACCGAGATAGAATTTCTCGATTTCTTCACAACAGAAACTATTTTCAACAATTAATTTGAAGAAATGTAACTTTTGACATGTAGAGAACATCACTTGACTCCGACCAAGTAGCCAATTCTTCATATTTTTTGAAGAAAAACAACACCCGAATCGAATTTCGAAATAAACTATAATTAAAAGTGTTTCCCATACGATGCCAACCCAATGAATGACACTGTATAATACCCTGATCAACTTATGAGAGTTATAACTCCATACCTGTTCAAATTACAGTGATAAACTGCTCATTACAATATGGGATACCATCAAACGAACAGCTATTGCTCTCCATGAAACCACCACACGGACGAAGAGTGGTCGATATCAATACCCTCATTCTTTCTTCCAGTATCACGTGCTGAATATAAAAATAACTGACTACCGTATCAAACATACAGTTGTTGAAGTTGAAAATATAACCTAGTCAAAATCGCCGGATCAACATTCAACATTGTGGTAGTGACCTGAAGTATATAGAAAAATTATAGAAATGACACCACCATGTAATTTCACGCAAATACTTGTAATAACGAATTGTTGAAGTCGTATCTCCTCAGTATAATGTAATATAAATTACAGAGGTACAATTTCTTGATTTCTTCGCAAACAGAAACTGTTTTGAATTGGTTTACTGGTCGATATTAATACCCTCATTCATTATTTCAGTATCAAGTGCTGATTATAAAAATAACCAACCACTATTTGGAGGTGAAAATAACCTAGTCAAAATCGCCGGATCAGCAATGATGCCAGAGAGGTAGGAATATTGTGGTAGTGAACTGAAGTATATAAAATGATTATGGAAATGACACCACCATGTACTTTTACACAAATACTGGAAAGTGGCGAAGTCGCATCTCCACAGACATGTAATATTTATTACCGAGATAGCATTTCTCGATTTCTTCGCAACAGAAACTGGTTCAAATACTAGACACAAATGTATAATTGGAATAGGAACACCTTTTTTTGTGAAAATTCTTGAAATTCGAACAAATAAGCCTATTTTCAGCAATTAATTTGAAGAAATGTTACTTTTGACATGTAGAGAAACTCACTTGACTCCGAGCGAATAGCCAATGTTTCATTTTTTTCGAAGCAAATCTCAACACCCAAGTCGAATTTCGAAATAAAGTATAACTAAAAGTATTTCCCATACGATGCCATCTCCATGAATGACACTGTATAATACCCTGATCAACTTATGAGAGTTATAACTCCATCCCTGTTCAAATCACAGTGATGAACTGCTCATTACAATACAAACGAACAGCTATTGCTCTCCATGAAACCACCACACGGACGAAGAGTGGTCGATATCAATACCCTCATTCTTCCTTTCAGTATCACGTGCTGATTATAAAAATAACTAACTACCGTATCAAACATACAGTTGTTGAAGTTGAAAATCTCACCTAGTCAAATGGTCGGTTCAGCGGTACATCGCAGGTATTCCAAGTTGTGGCACAAAACGATCCGAAACCGCACTGAGATGGCCGTACGAAAATCGAGTCCACCAAGTCCGTACCAATGTGGCTGTCGCGATACCTTTCGTATACCTGTTCGGCGGGTAGAAGTAAACGAAATACTAAACAGGCAAGAAGTATCGCGGTGCTCTCTGCGAGGACCTGCTGCATCGTGCATGGTGGGATTTGGTACGGTCAATCCGGTCTTAGAATTAGACGAGGGGTGTTTCGATGCATAGTACAACGAGCAGAAGATTTCCACTGGTAATACCACTAGAGGTCAAATTATTTCGAAAATTATCCCCATGGGCTCGAAAGAATTTCCGGAAAGTAATTTGATCTCGAGTGGTATTCGGTAAGAAAAGCTCACACCAGATTGTGTTTGGAAGTCAAATAATTTTAGAATTCATTTGTTCATTTGATTTGCATACAGGTTGATGAATAAATTTTGTTTGTGTCGCAGTTTCGGCACCAATAATAGATTCCTGATTTCTAGCTATCATATTTGCATGAAAATATTACGTCGGTCATCTCACGTAATGACGTATCTCATGAAAATCGGAATTTGAGATACTACGTCAAAAGACTCATATTCTTGCACTCTATGATCTCACGAAGTGGCGTAGCTCAATATTCAATGGTTTTCGTGTAATCAAATATCGAATACTCAGCCTATCTAAAATTATTGGACTACTAAATCTCACGAAGTGACCTAACTATGGGAGTTACGTCAATACGTGAGATATATTTTTATTATTTGTTGAAAATTTCAACAGTGACGTATCTCATAATCCGGTTTGCCGCGGAAATTGAAATATCTCGTGTGACGTCTCAAGGTACTTAAAGGGGTATTGTAAGGTATTATACAATTCGAATGAATTTCTGTGTGTTTATCAATAAAAATGAATGTTTGGATGTGTTATCCATTTGAATTCACCTAATATTTATGGGCGTATCTAAGGCCACATTAACAAACATGAACTCACGTAGTGACGTATCTTACAAACATTTTTTTTTCTTGCTTTTGGCGATGCTTTTTCGAAATCTCATCATAGCATAACAACTAGTTCTAGTTCATCCACTGATAAATGAAAAAATAATGATCTTTCATGAACAAACCTCTGAATTATAAGCGAATTAAGATGTTGAAAATCTTTGAACTGCTCTGCTGTAAAATTAAGAAAACTGAGATACGTCACTACGTGAGATGACCGTCGACTAGTTCAAAATGTAACATATTATATTATTCCATTTCATAATAACTTCGGGATACTACAAGTGATCAGAAATTTTAATTTTGTCAATTAATTTTTCATATATAGGTATAGGTACATACTTGTAGTAGTAGAGAAAGGGGAGGCGGTCGCCTAGCAAGTAGGCCCCATTGAGCCTTTTTCGCCGACCCCTGCTGCACACGCCATGTGCACATAATATCTACTATTCCTTCTCCTAGTTCTCCTTTTCGAACCTCCGTGGATTTCTGATGAAGGTCAGTATGTCCGTCCACCTCAGTAATTCGATCTTCCTGTTGAAGCGTATCAGTACCAGAGATTTCGAATTTTACCCTTCCATAACGCCTTACACTGGCCCAGGTAGTGGTATATGACATCCTATACCTATATAATAGATACAGATAGGGCATCAATGGATTCTAAGGACGTCAAAATATTATTCTGTCATTAAAACGTCATAAAATAATCCGATTTCATACGCTGGTGGGTACCCACTAGAAAAAAATTTCCACTAAAATACATACGTTGTTATGGTAATTTTTCATAAGAACTCAATTTAACTGATGTGGAATTTTCAAATGTAATACCCTATGTGATACTATTTTGTCGGAATATTCGGCCATTGGAGACCTGCAGAAAATCTCTTTTCAAAGACTCGTTCATCCAACGAACACCGAGGCTCTGGAACACATTAAGAACACCAATTCTGATTTTTTTTTTCGCAGGAATATTTTATTTAGGGTATATTTAGTGTTATCGCCATATTTTGGTCCAAAAAATCCACTCTTAGCCTATGTCCCAATAGTAGTGTCCCAATACGACTTCAGTTGAATATGGAATAATAACAAATAAGTCGATAGTATATTTAGTTCCCTCAGTTTTTTGCAAATACATTTAGCTAGAGTCGGTAGAAATATATTTTCTCTTCATCTCTTGAAGCACGCAAAAGAGAATCCTTACAATGTTTGAAATCGTGCGTAGGAGGAAAAGTCGTTTCCGCATCAACTGATCAAGTAAATTAAAACAAATACAGGATATTCTTAGAAAGATAATTTTGTGCTCGTTCAAATGATATATCCCCATTTTCCAATTGAAATTTTAGGGTTGTGTCCTCTCTCGCTAGGGGTTCAAAGGCACAGGTTGAGAAATATGTCTGAAAAGTGTCCCCCTCAAGGGCAAAACCAAGTTTGCAAGTATTTTTTGCATTGAATTCCAAAAAAAAAGGTGAAAAGCTAGGTGTATACTTTTTGTTGAACCACTCGGTATATATCGCAATGTCCTAGAGTTGCCTCACCTTGTAGATATAGTGACTTTTATTCATCTCCAAATACTTTCAAACAAATCCCTGAATTTTAAGGCATATCTATTTTTCGGGCATTTGTTGAGTAAACAACAAAGCACCTTCGCCAAATTATATCTAAATGGGAGACCTCAATGACCGCTGAGAAGAGAAACCCTATACAATTCTGAAACTGAAACTGTGACTGAAGCTTGAAGGCTTGAAGGTTCTTTGTGGATACCAATTTACTTTAAGGAACCAAAGCATTTCTTAATTTCAATAACTGGCCTTAACTTTTCCTCATTTTATGAATTCCAACAACCAATAAATAAGAGTAAATTGCAATATAAAACCCAGGTACAGGGTGGGCAAAATTGGGCGTTTTCACCGTCTATCTCAATAACTAGAGAAGTTATCGAAAAACCGATATACATGTTCCGGGTTTGATTTTGGAGAAACCTCGAATGGCACAATCCAAATTTCGATATCTTCATTCGTTTTAGAGATACAGGGGGAAATTGGAAATTTGCCGATTTCGATTTTATTTTCTGACTACTTTACGGTGACAGGTATCAAAAAATTCCGAACGTATATTTAAACAGTATGATGCGTGGAATCCATTGGCATCATCAGAAATTTTATACAGGGTGACGTTGAAAAGATACGGCAGCCAATTATGTTTTTTCTAATGGAACACCCCGTATATTTTGGCACAGTTGAATAGTCCCAGGCGTTTTCATTACAAATATATATATAACCCCACCTTTTTCTTCCACAATTTCAGATATATTCGCAAAAATATATTCAGTGTGTCACATTTCTTATGGTTACACCCCCGTATCTTCTGTAAAAATAATTGAGGTAGTATTCAAAAATTCGCAACTGTCAGAAAGATACAAATGATACACTCATGGAGTCATGGACCAAGTGGGATCATCTCCATTGATAACACTGCTCGCCAGCAGCTATGGAATCATCGATATTTCTGGATAATGCTATCAACAGGCAGAATCGAGGTTGAAAATGACACTCTGTATATATTCACCAAATGTGGAAAATAAATATCATAGGGAATGTAATTTCCAGATAAATGAATATTTGGTGAGAAATAAAATGGGAAATTATTCGATTTGATATCATTGTTATCAAGACATATGAGATACAGAAATAAGACCAATAATTTACTCAATTAGGAAATCAGTAGGTTGCGTCGAAAAATATAGCCTTATAGAAGATGTCCAAATTCCAGATACAGAACAATTTTTTTTATGGAACACTCCGTATATTTTGGCAAAGCTGGAAAGTTCCCGTTTCAATTTCAAATATATATCTTATTTATTATCTCTTTGACCGCGAAAATATTAAGGCATACTAGAAATAATGGGTAAAGTATCATATTCAGGCATTCTGCCACAAAATATTATGATTGGTTATGTTTCCATCAATTATTCTTACAGAAGATACGGGGGTGTAACCATAAGAAATGTGACACACTGAATATATTTTTGCGAATATATCTGAAATTGTGGAAGGAAAAGGTAGGGTTATATATATATATTTGTAATGAGAACGCCTGGGACTATTCAACTGTGCCAAAATATACGGGGTGTTCCATTAGAAAAAACATAATTGGCTGCCGTATTTTCTCAACGTCACCCTGTATAAAATTTCTGATGATGCCAATGGATTCCGCGCATAATACTGTATAAATATACGTTTGAAATTTTTTGATACCTCTCACCGTAAAGTAGTCAGAAAATAAAATCGAAATCGGCAAATTTTCAATTCCCCCCTGTATCTCTAAAACGAATGAAGATATCGAAATTTTGATTGTACCATTCGAGGTTTCTCCAAAATCGAACCCGGAACATGTATATCGGTTTTTCGATAAATCCTCTAGTTATTGAGATAGACGGTGAAAACGCCCAATTTTGCCCACCCTGTACGTACAATGTTCCACGAATATAAAATAGGGGATTCCCTTCTGTACAATCTATTAGATTTGAAACAAATTTGTTCATCCAATAGTTGGGTACAAGAACCAATAAAGACTTCAATACTTTAGAAGATTCATCAATATCAACCATATCGCTATTTTCGAAGAAATTTCAGAGACTGAAAATTATTCAGAGGGAATCTTAAAAACAAAATAGCGCAATAATCTATGATGGAAGGTTATTCTTTCTCATCCGTGAAAGAGGGAAAATACTGTGTGTTACAGAATGTTTACCCAACGAACAAAATGGCAATAACAAATGCGATGAGACTTATTCATGAATAAGCCTTTCCGCTATTTTTTATGGAATTTCAAAGACCCCTATAAGATATTTCAAGGATAATTTTCAAAATTAAATTGCACAAGCATCACCTTGATAAAAAAACCGCCCTCACCCGAGAATCTGAAAAACCACTGGATGTTTCATTTGAAAATCCAAAGTTAAAATGATTTGCAAGAATGTTAATGACTCGTGTCTGTTAAAATTGTTCTTGTTTTGCAGTAAGTATTCAGTCC